CTGAGGTTACAAAATATATATATATATATATCACCAACTTTATTTATTTTATCCCGTTATTAGTATTCTTCCCCACACCTACACTCTCATCCTGAAGTCCTCGGATAGCTGGTTTCAGGTGAAAATTGGGTCAGAATTTTCAGACATCAAGCCATCAATCAAGGCTTTCTCCAAAGGAATATTCTATCCTCTACACTGTTTACACTGCTGACATGCTTACCAACCCAAACATCTTCCAGGACGATATCGCAATTCTTTCCACTCATCCTGACCTTATCCCTGCAGCAGCAGCAAACCAAGACCACCTAGACCTCATTACCGACTGATGCAGTCCGTAGCGCATCATGCTAAATGACCAACAATGCCAGCACGTGATTTTCACACTTATAAGAAGTATCTGCCCGCCAGTGCGTATGCACAGTAAGGTAATCCCCACCCAACCAAATCCGCTACCTTGGGCTTTACTTGTACAGCAACCTAAATAAAACAAAAGAACACAAGAACTGAACCGAAGATACTCAGACACCTACTTTGAACCATATCCACAACGTACACACAACAAACTAACAATATACAAGACACTAATTAGACCAAATTGGACTTCCGGAGTCGAGCTGTGGGGTTCGGCCGAGCCATCCAAGATCCAAAGATCCTTGCAATCTAAATTCCTTCGTCACATCCTCAACACTCCCTTTTATATTACTAGCCAAACCATCCCCAAAGATCTAGAGATCGCATCCGTCCAACACAATTTCGCAACTTCCACTCCAAGTTCTCCTCCCACACCAATCTACTAGCTCATGTCCTCTCTTCAATTAGCTAATAATCCAAAACATTGAGAGTTCCAGTAATGGCCGGCTCCTCTCCCGCATCACCATCCCCTTGGTCTGACAGGTTCATGCCAGAGCTTTCACTAACATCAAATTGTTAAATCTGTATTTTGTTGTACAGAAAATAATAAAAAATAAACTTAGAAAAATAATTATTTTATACAGAAGACAAAGATCGAGATGAAAACAAATAAATACAAGTTTAAACTAAAATTTAAACTATAAAACAACAATTATATCAACATTACTTACACCAATGTATGCAGAATTTATCGTTCGAACCACTTGTAGTAGTTCCTCAGTGACAACATTCCTTCACATTGAAATCGTCATCCTTCACTTACTGAGGTCTCGGGGCCACTCTTGCTTCAATCGTCTTGTAGTATTTTCTGTTTACTTCATAAATTTAAAGATATAAAGGCCGGGAAAATAGACCAATAATACGAGCTACGCGCCGTGCCTACTCACTTTTCACTATAAAATTCAGTGATGACCGTTTTTAATATAAAAAAGCGGTTCTTCACTATAAATGGCGCTAAGCCGAAACGCGTTAGAGTACTATCAAAACACGCGAGTGTAGACGGACCCGCTATGGTTAGGGACGGTGGCCGTTCAACATAATTTCACCGACAGGCAGACCAACAGCCACCATCAATATTATTACGAAAGTCAAAACAATGATCTGTTCTTTAATTGATGATTTCTACCCATAGTACAATTTAGTATATAAAATAATTGATTAATTTATAATTGACGGAAATGTTGATGATGAGATGATTTGTTGGAGTTAAGCAACATTTTGTTTCTGGATCACTATTGTGACCCAAATTCGCTCCAAAAAAAATTAATTATGAAGATTTATGAACAGCTTTTAATTTTTAATCAAGTTGAACTATTCTCTTGACTAGTTTGAATGGGGCCACAGAGAGAACGTCAAATTAGGAATTGTATGGATGTAGATTGAGGTCTGCGTGGGACAATACGCAAGGGATTAGATAGAAAATTTCCCATGGGCTAAGACGACAAAAAGAGAGAAAAAAGAATGGAAAGTACGACAGCCTCTTATTGTGAACCTGCGAGAAAACATATCTTAGGTTTTTATCGTAAAATAGGAAAAGTTCGATTTGCTTAAATAAGAGTTGAAACGAAAATTTTAAAGTTGTAGCCACGTAATGGTCTCTAGAGAATAGAAAATGCGTTGTGTTTGAGTATTATTATTTTTGAATTAATAACACTATACTATAATTAGTATAATGAAGTTATGTTTTGTGATAAGATAACTTGAAGTGTCTCGTTATGAGAGCCGAATCTGCTACATCTCAAGCATTACTTGTAAGTTCTTTGCCGTCGTCGTAGGTTAATTATTCTGCCTTCAATTGATGAAGTGCTTTAATAATTTTAAAACGACACTTTTGCATAATTTAGATATGAAATAGGCAGTCGAGATAAGAAATTTCAAAATAAGTAAAACCCCTAGTTTTCATGATGTGGGCAACAGATGGTACTTTGCCGATGATCACGTGCCTCGGGCAAATGCATTGGAATATAGCGTGACAATTTCGAAAGGTCGGAAGGCTTTACATTTTCCGTGAACAAATAAATCTTTTAGTACAAGCATTGCACGATAATATGATTAAATTGCTTATGATTACAGGATAGAAGAAGAATAAACTTTGGTAGTTTAAAAAAAATTGAAAAAAACTACTTGAACGAAATCTACGATAAGACGCACTTCCACCACCAGCCAAAACCAGCTATGCTGTACCCCATTTTAACTCCGGAAATGATATACTAAATTATAGACCTAGTAGTATCTAGCCGGAGGTCGTGGGTTCGAATCCCGCTCGTGACACTGGCTTTTTTATTTCAGCCAATACCTTATATAAAGATTAATTGATTGAAAGAAGTTATTTGGTCAATCCGACCACGAAATCTAATGGATTTATAATAAAATTAACCCAATTCTCAAAACTACTATTTGCAAGGGCCAACCTGGTTTTATTAAGAACAAATCTTCATTAACTAATTTATTGCACTACGCATGACATTCTTGATATATTCCAGGGTGACCACCAACTTGACGTGTTGTATTCAGATGTTTGGATAAAGTTAACCATGATTTTTTACTTTATGAACTAGAAATTTTGGAAATGAAAGGTAGCATTCTTCTTACCTGGCTGTTTAATTATTTAAAAAATAGAATACAACTAGTATCCTTGAATTCTGTTTTGCCTAAGCCAATATTTGTAACTTCAGGTGTTCCACAAGGAGATCATTTATCTTCGCTTCTCTTCAATATTTTTATAAATGAGGTCTAACTGTTGCTTGCTAACTGTTAATGAACATATTGCCATGATTATAAACAAACCAATAAAATTGTTAGGCTTCATTAAAAGGAATGCTGGGGAACTAAGCAACATCGGTTGTATAAAAATGGTATACTTTTCTTCACTATCCTTATTATATAAATTATGTAAGTAAAATTAAAAAAAAAAATAGAATAGGCTATTAGGTTATTTATCTAGCATATACATAATTTATAAAAGCTGTAGATCTAAATTATGTTGCACTGAGAGCTGAATTGACAATGGAATCTCTCAAAAAAAGAAAAGATAGAAACGATATTTTATTTTTGTATAAATTATTTAATAGCGTTAAAGATAGCCCTGATTTGTCAAAAAGAGAATTGTTAAATGTTCCTACAAAAGATACCAGAAATGTTGATCTATTTTTTATACCATTTTGTGAATCTAATTATTTGTATCATTCATCAATCATAAGATCATGGAGACTCATGAATCAATACGTCATAGATATATTTGTTAATTCATTTAATAGTTTTAAGAAAGAATTATTGATATCTGTAATAATCTGTTTTCTTCGATTAGTTCTTCATCAGTACTCTTTCAAGTTCTAGAAAGAAATAACACCTTTTGAGGTGTTCAATTTTACACTTCTTTCGACCTTTACCGGTATATTTTCTAAATTTTTAATTTTCATTATTTTACTACCTTGTTCCTCATTGAACGCTTCAATATAAATTAAACGACCTTTTTTTATGTTTACTACTTTCCCTACTTCTCTATTTATTACTGTACATATTCTTATTGGCGATAGTGAGTGAAGGCCACCATTATCTTTCCCAACCGATCTACAAATGATAAAATGAAGAATTTATTATTTAGAAGGGGTAATCTATTTCGAAAACCTGCTCGGCCCACTGGGATATCTGTATTCACTGCATATTCAAATGATTTTGAAAAAATTGAAAAACAGATGACGTTTAAAGATAAAGAGAAAAACTAAATAAATAAATCTTACCCAACCCTGAAACCAGGTTTTTAGAGAGATTCGGCCCCACACTTCCCAATAGGGAATCCGAGCTATAAACCAACACCCAGCAGACTTGTCTAATCGTCAAAATATTTATCCAATTGAACTGAACACTTGAATTGAAAAAACACTTCAAAAAACACTAGACACGTAGGAACGTCCTAGCTACCACAACACACCACTATCCTGCATTTATTATCAATATACCTCAAAACTTCGGTTTTTTCCCAGAGTGGAAATTCTTGCTTGTTACAAGTTTTATAGTCAGGTGTAGGTCATTTCTCAAAATATTATTATTATTTTTAATACTATTACTATTATTAAAAATATAACTCATCATCCTAATATATATGTTAATAATTAATGCAAACTTAAGATAAATTATACACCATTATGTAAAATTATGTGGAGAACATTCATGTGAACATAAAAATCTGCTTAAATTTATTGTACTGAGTAAACTTATCGTATGACTGTGATATATAAATGATAAGTTGAAACTTATCGAACTATATACTATAACAACTTTCATTTACATTTAACAACATTCTAAGCCGTCTGGAAAGGTATTTTATATTTGAGTTTTGTTTTAGTTAACCCTTGTTTTTGAATTTTTCAGTTTGTTTGATGGCTTTTATTCTTGGTACTGTGATCGGATGGACGGCTCCTGTTTTACTGACACTGCAGTCGGACGAGAGCCCCGTCGGAAAGATGACGGACGAAGAGACGTCTTGGTTGGGGTCGCAGATGTTCCTTGGCGGTATCGTCGGGACGCTGTTTTGGGGAAGGATCGCCGACGGATTCGGAAGGAAGGCAGCCGGTTACTCCGTCGCAGCCATTTTCATCTTAGGATGGGGTTTGATCATCGTGGCGACGAAATCTGCTCTGCTGTACGTCGCCCGATTTCTGAGTGGTCTGAGCGGCAGTGGCGCTCTGATCCTTTGTCCGTTGTACGTCAGCGAAATCGCCCAGGACTCCATCCGAGGAGCTCTGGGCTCTTGTACAATACTGTTCATGAACGGAGGGATCGTCACGGCGTACGTTGTCGGCGCCGCTACCGATTTCACCGTTTTCACCGCAGTATGCCTCGCGGTACCGATCCTTTTTGCCGTCCTGTTCTTTTTCCTGCCTGAAACGCCGTCCTACCTTTTCGGGAAAGGGTGGGCCGACGAAGCGGAGGCTTCATTGTTGTGGTTCAGAGGCGGCGACCACGACAGTGTCCAGGACGAGATGGGCAAGTTCTCCAGAAACGGGAAAACGCGAGAAAACACGACTTATCGTATGTTGGTGGCCGACAGGGGTAGAAGGAGGGCAATGGTTATCGGGTTAGGGCTGTTCACTTGGCAACAGTTCTGCGGCATCCTGGCTCTGCTCACCTTCACCACGACGATCTTCGCCGCTTCGGGCAGTTCTTTAGGTGCCTCAAAAGCGACGATCACAGTCGGATTGTTTCAACTCTTCGGATCGTGTGTAAGCTCTGTCATCGTGGATCGTTCTGGGAGAAGAATCCTCCTTCTCATATCGTATACCTTCATGGGGGTTAGCTTGTCGCTTCTCTCCCTGTACTTTTACGCTCTCTCCGTGAAATTCGATGTGAGCAGGTTTAATTGGCTTCCCGTTATCTGTCTTTCCGTGCATGTCGTCGCTTACGCATTGGGCGCAGGGCCTGTGCCTTACGTTGTCATGTCCGATACACTCGCTCCTGAAATCCGAGGATTGGCCACTTCGGTTATTATTCTCTGGGGAATGATTTTCTCTTTCATGAGTGTCCAGATCTTTCCTTTCCTCGTCACCACGATCGGAAGCCACGGAAGCTTTCTATTTTTTGCGGGGTTCTGCTTCGTCGGCGTCGTCTTCACTTGGGCCTTAGTGCCCGAAACGAAAGGCGTTCCCCTGGAGCAAGTCCTGGCTCGTCTCAATAGAAAGCCCGCGATCCGTACTTCGGTCGAAGTCTAAAAACCCCATCACATTTATTCTCCTGCACAAGGCTGCAATTACTTTCATATCGCTAGTACTATCAGTAATAAATTATTGGAAAATGTCCTTATGAAGCTATAGTTTTGAAAAAACATTGACAATCTCGACATTAATACTACTTTCTTTACCAATAAAATATAAATAAGGATTGTACTTCACGGTTTTTTGAACGAAAAATTAATTATACACTTCCAAATTTATTGCTCTTCCATTTATCTACTTTTACATTTCTTGCTATTTTATAAGGTTTATTGTTAACTTTCATGTCTTGTTAAGCGTAATTTTAAATTAATTAAATGTGCTACAATATAAAGCTGTGGATTTTGTTTGTATTCTTTATTTGATATTTCGACATTGAATCCTGAGAAAATGAGCTTTAAATTGTAAAATTAAATCAATAATTTCGATTATATAAATCTCTAAATTTATACGTTCTTTGTGTGATATCTTAATAATACAAATAGTTTTTTAAAATATTTCAGCTAGCAAGCCAAAATACGAATCCACTCTTCCTGTAGAAGACCTAACAGTCGTTTAGCGACTATATCGGTAGCACTACTTTGGTGCTGAAAAAACCGAATGGCTATAGATAAGGAGTGATTGGTTTCTTGTAATTATCGTGTAATAAAGCCAAAAATTAACAAGCAATATAATAATAAGCACAACCAATAAATTAATAAGCACATGTAACACATTGTATACAGGGTGAATTGCTACTCGTGCTACAAACTTCTCCAGTAGATTCTTGACCCTAAAATGAACAAAAAAGTTCATATTGTCCATGGTCCGATTCTCAACCATTTCAGAGTAATTTCGCTTTTTATCGATTTTGAAAGATATCACGTCCTTATTTAGTGGTTGTGAGACCAAGATGTTGATGACAAAAAGAGAAAAAATGGTGGTTCAAGGATTGCTAATGTTTGAGAGTGACTTGCTACTCGTGCTACAAACTTCACCAGTAGATTCTTGACCCTAAAATGAACAAAAAAGTTCATATTGACCATGGTCCGATTCTCAACCATTTCAGAGTAATTTCGCTTTTTATCGATTTTGAAAGATATCACGTCCTGGCGTCGGAAAATCGTGATATCTTTTAATCTAAACATTTCTCTTAAAATCTATAAGGACCGTTGAAATCCCCGTTAATTTTTCAATAAGAAGATGAAGGTGGCAAAACGTTTGGGTCTTTCTTCCTTGACCTTCTAGCTGTTTGTAAACTTCTTTTTAACGATTTTCCGACGCCAGGACGTGATATCTTTCAAAATCGATAAAAAGCGAAATTACTCTGAAATGGTTGAGAATCGGACCATGGACAATATGAACTTTTTTGTTCATTTTAGGGTGAAGAATCTACTGGAGAAGTTTGTAGCACGAGTAGCAATTCACCCTGTATAACAGATGAAATGGTTAATAAGCATACATGAACCTCGTTAACTTACATTTTTAGATTATATCACATACAAAATAATAAGGAGGTTTAGAAGCGGGAGAGGGTATGTAAAGAATATTTTCATTCTACAGTCAGTAGTTAATGTATTATTAACAATAAAACGGAAATATTTGATCTATTTGTGGACATCAGTAAAACCTTTGAATCTGTGCTTCGTGAAAAATTATGGAAAAATATATAGAATAAACACTAGAGAAAAGTTAAGAGCTATTATTAAGGTTGTGTACGAAACGCTAAAATGGTTTTGAATATTGACGACGTAATAAATCACTCTAAATGTTATAATACTTAGAAGTCATGCAAGGGGAAATTTTATACCCTATTTTGTTTTCTTATTTTATCGTGAACATTTTAAAATAGAATATGTAAAATCGGATGTTTATCTGGGAAGTTCCGTCTAGCATGAGATCACTTTAAGAAGAATCCAAGTTACTTCTAAATCCGATTCTTGGGTCTCTAAAATAATATTATTTGATGCATTAATAAAATCAGTTTTAATCTACGCGGCTGAAATGCGGGCATTGCACTAGTATATAATTTGGAAGTAATCCTCCCTAAGTTTGTCAAAAATCTACTGTTTCGACCATCGCCTACTTCAAGTAATTTTGTGAGATTAAAGCGAACTTAAATAGTTAAATTATCCATATGTATAATAGTTATAAAATTTTGGCAAACTCTTGGGGCTGCCCGAACACAGAATGGAGAAAATCTCCCTACAAAAGCTGATAGCAGAAATTAATAATGGATTGGACAGTTTATGTTAATCGCTTCTGTCTTCTATTCGCGACGAAATTATTTTCCATAATAGTCCGTGTCGGTAAACTTCAGATGATAAATCATTTGTCAGAAAATACTCAAATCACTTTGGTCACTGGATTCAGCGCTCGATTCTAATTATAATCCCCATTTCAGAAGGATTAAGTATCTGGGCTTTGGCAAGGACTACCTGTATTTGCGAACGAGCATTGATAAATTGAGATTAATCAACCAGATGAGAATATGCAACATATTAACAAACAATAAAATACAAATACTTCATCGATCCTCAAATGTTCTCCGTTTTGTAATAGAAAGGAATTAGAATCATGAGAGCATTTCCTTTTAATTTACCCTGTTTATGACACAACTAGAAAAAACTGTTTTTCGTATCTACCTCCCAGACAATGCTTCTTTCATTTAACATGCCCTAAAACATTAGAAGAAACTAAGAATTTATATCAGTTTGTAATTTCAGTACTAAAACTGGGATAATTTATTATAGAAGAATAACTTAATGACGATACCATGAAAGAGAAAGTGTAACATTGTGTTCATTTATTTATTTGTTTTATTTACTTTTACTGTTTGTTCAATCAACATTACCAATGATAATTAGTGTTTCTTTTCCCTTATTTTTAAATTCTTTTCACCTATTGCCGAGGTTATTTTATTGTTTTTTTATATTCTGCTATTAATAAGTAATTCATTAATATTAATATTATGTATTATTTATATTATAATTATATTTTCTTAATACTTTTTACGTATATATTTATACTTCTCTATACATATCTGCAATAATACATGATTACTTGGAGATCGTGAGATGCGGTCTGGTGTGACGTAGGTTGAGAATGTAATAATACAGCTTACACTGTCTGAAAGGACTGTACAGATTATACAGGGTGTCCCAGTTCCTTCTGACAAAACTCAGGGAATAGATTCTGCTCTTCGTTTGGAGCAAAAAATGCTCAGGAGAAAATTTTCGGAAATTTCTCTATTTTGAAGATATTCGTCAATTTAGGTTTTTTCAACTTTTCACTATCTTACCACATAAAAAAGCTTACAACTTCCAAAATGTTGATACTACAACAAATTCAATTACACCATTTGAAAGAACGCTAAATTTGCTGTAACATACTTCTATTTGCAATAATCTGAATGACATAAAATGTAAGCCAATATCAATTGGAACATGTCAAAATTTAAAATTTTGATTGCACGTTCTACTGAGGTTACAAAAAAATACCTACAACTTTTCTATCTAGCGAGTTCTACTTGATTTATTTCTACCCCCCCTTCAAATTTACCTTAGAACGTTATTTAAAAACCTGGATATATCAACGTAAAGCATATTAGATGAAGAAATTTTTGTAAAATTTGACAAGTTGTAGGTATTTTTTTGTAACCTCAGTAGAGCGTGCAATCATGGCCAAAATTTTAAATTTTGTAATTTTGACATGTTCCAACTGATATTGGCTAACATTTTATGTCATTCAGATTATTGCAAATAGAAGTATGTTACAGCAAATTTAGCGTTCTTTCAAATGGTGTAATTGAATTTGTTGTAGTATCAACATTTTGGATGTTGTAAGCGTTTTTATGTGGTAAGGAATTGAAAAGTTGAAAAAACCTAAATTGACGAGTATCTTCAAAATAGAGAACTTTCCGAAAATTTTCTCCTGAGGATTTTTTGCTCCAAACGAAGAGTAAAATCGATTCCCTGAGTTTCGTCAGAAGGAACTGGGACACCCAGTATATAAATAAATAAAGCGTTTTGGATATTAATCGAGCATATATAAATAATTGATTATTAAATCACGCCCTTTTTTGATAAGTAACTATAATTTTTATTAGAAATTGCAAGGACATATTGACAAAAATGACATTTTACATATAGCATTTATGATTTTTGGATCATTTTTTAATATTTGTAATGAACTTTTAAATAAAACTGGAATAAATACTTGTCATTGTAATAAAAAAAAATTAATATTCTATGCTTCATGTAAAAATTTACGACAAAGGTGTAAACGAAATTTGATAAAATTGTTTGTTCAGAGCAGACCTTGTCTGGTCAATTTGAACCAAATAAATAGTGGATTCTTGAACCGAATGGCTCCAAGTCGGAATTCGTAAGCATTTGTCTATGTTCTATTCAAAGGCATTCCAATGATTACGATGCGAGTGCCTATTTGATACATTTCCCCTGTTGAGCTCGTCATAAAGGCTGTGGGACTGATACGAAAAGGTTTTTGTTTGAAATGTTTCTTTGTAAAAATTATTAACGTATGCATAAAAAGACAAATGCTTTCTTTTAAACATTGTTCATATTTTAGTTTAAATTGAATCACCAGAAAATGATATCAGTCAGTATTCATATTCGTAAGATGTTCATAATTAATTAATTTAGTCTATTGAGGTTAGGGATGGGATTATGATTATTATGGGATTATTATGATCATTATTATTATATTAGGGATTATGATTATGATTAGATTTATAATGTTCTTATTTCTTATTATATTGAAATACATCGCATATCTTGTTAACTTCTGAAGAGCAATATAGAGTTTCCTTTTACGTCAATTTACGTCCTTTTTCAGCATTTTAAATTGGTTTGCACGTCACTTCCAATCACTTGTTAACAATTATGAAACAGTCAGGCTGCCGTATTGACGAAAAAGGTTTATCTCTTGGTTGTTCAGAAATGTCAAGACCTTTTAAAACAATTCATATGAATTCTTGCAAAACTTAACCGAGCTGTTCTGTGCCTTATCAGAAGTTCTAGACCAGTGGAAAGCTTTCTCGCGTGTAATCCGGCTTCTGAAAGTCATCGTCCGTGCATCAACTTACATTACCATTTCTAACTGTTGAAGTCGTTGCTTGATTGACGGCCTGATCCATGCCTTCTTGAGTAACCTCCAGTATCTTGGTAGCGATATAAGACCCTTCGGACACTTGTTATTGGAATGTTAAGCACCCTGACCAAAAACGTTGTCTTCTTCCATTTTCCAACAGTTTTATAATTCTATCGGAATGTGTATCACTTAAAACCATCACTCAAACAAATTTGACACTTAAAAATGGTACAACCCAAAAAAATCAAACCAAGGGAAGTTGCAGAAAAACTAACAACCAAGAGATTAACTATTCAAATATTTATTTACAACATCCAATTGTAAACAAAAGTGGAAGATCCTTTTTAGAAATGATGAATGATAGAGTGAGTGTGGCGTTCAATCCTTTTTAAAAAGATAGTTCCTACTTCAAGTATGTTGTTTTGCAACGATCCGGATTTCGAGCCCTTAGCTCATCATCAGGTTGAAGGATTTCTACAACCACGTCTCTCGACACGAATTGCAAAAGTGGACCCGCCGATACCCCCGCCAACGCGACGTACCAACGAGCAGCTGGTTTTTTAATGGTGCTCAATTTGAACGTGCGAAAAGCGGGAATTATAACACAAATAAATATTATAATTGT